CCGGTGCCGGCGCCGCTTTGGGAGCGGCCCGGCTGCTCGGGGCTCGCCGGAGGGCTTTGGCGCTGCCTGGTCCCGTGGAGGAAACTCGCTTTATTCACGTTCGCGGCCTCAGACCTTGTGCTGAGGAGGAAAACGCGTGCGGTGTGTCGGTAGTCTGTGTTCCCGCGGCGTCCCTGAAGGTGCCAAGCGTTGTCAGGCGTGATGCTGTTGTTGTACAGCTATCTGACGTTCTGTTCCTTGTGTAATAATGAAACACATGTAAGCTGCCTAATATCCCTCACTTATTACTGTCTAAATCACAGAAGAAACAAGTCAAAGGTACAGGAGTTACTGAAGAAAACAGAAATGCTGTGCACGCTGTGAAGTGCCTTTTTACACTGTGAGCGGCTTAAGTCAGCCAGACCACGGCTGGGCTCTGTTGTTGATCTTGTTTAAATGTTGTATCTTAAAGTTCTGAGCAATTATTTTTATGTTAAACTCTGTTGCAAAACAACTGAAGGGAATATGAGCTGGTTGCATCTCTGTTTTTTAAGAGTTTCATAAACATGTAGTTTGCAGGTCTCTCGGATGTGTCAATATCTGAAGATATTCCAGTGGAAGGGGAAATTACTGTTCCTGTTGGATCTCACTCTCCTGATGAAGACTACTCCACACTGGATGAACCTGTTAGAGATACTATTGTGAGTTAGTATTCTGTGCCTGTATCTGTAATAACACATGTGTTTTACTGATCTCTTCTGCCAAGTGTTATGCAAAAATTGTCTTTTTTCTTTTGACTTTTACTGTTTTGGGGGGTAGCTTTGTAAAGCACATTCTTTTGGGTAGAAAAATATTTGAGTTACAATCCCCAAGTCTTTCTGTGATCTGAAAATTTTTGCAAGTGTAGAAGTGTCAGATGGTGCTTCAGAGGAAACTACCCTAATAGGATTTTTTTTGGTGACTTTCTTTTCACAGAGGAGCAAAGAAATTATTGTTCTTAACTAGGTGTTATTAAAGGATAGTACGTTGTTGTGGTTGTTAAGGAACGTAGGAAATGTAGTCATTGTTTGCTGCAGGGGATGCTTCAGAAATTTTTGGGTTGGATCCTATCTTGATTTTAAAGTTGATACTGCTTTATTTCTATCTTTCTGCTTTGTTTTCATTGTGATCTGTAATTTTATTAAGTGTCTCTTCTTTATTTCAGATGAGAGATCTAAAGGCGGTCGGGAAGAAATTTGTGCATGTCATGTATCCGAAAAAGAGCAGTGCGCTCCTCAGAGACTGTACGTACCAGAAGACTTTCAAAAGCTTGAAAGGGCATGTTGCTTACAGACTTCTCATGTTTTGAAAAGGAGGAATTCACTGGAATAGGAAATCAAGTGTCTGTTTTATGTTCGTTTTGTTGTTTTGGCATGCTGAATAATGAAAAATCAGGGTGGTATCAAGGATCTTTTAAAACAGATCATGTGTTAATATATAGAGCAGGTAACTTTAAGAGTTAACACACTTTGAATAAATTACATCGTATTCTTTATATATGTATATAAAAGATGCTAAATAAGAAAATTATAACGAAGTATAGTATGGAAAATGATATATCAGGAGTTGGAAAAGAATGCTTTATCACTCCTAGAAAAATACAATTGAACATCTTTCTATGATGTCTTTTTTTTTTTTTCTTTTACCTGCAGGGGATCTTTGGGGCCCCTTGGTGCTTTGTGTCTCGCTTGCGCTGTAAGTACCTGCAGTAAGTGGGTTTGGTTTTTTAGCCTTTTACGTAGGGGAAACGAGAATTTAAAGATTTCTGATGACATGTGTTGAAATTAAGTTTTTTCAGATGCTCGCCTGGTCTTCTACATCAGTGCTTGCTCCAGGTTTTCTTACAAAATGTGTTTCTGACACTTAAATCTCATTAAGACCGTCCTTCTTTAAATTTAGAATTTAAAGGTGAACTCTTCAGAATCACCTCTTTTAGGAATGACGTTACTGAAAGTTATCCTGATTCGTGTTGTTATTAGTTCTAACACATTTGGCCCACTTCCTTATTCTGAGCTGCATGCCAAAGCCTTGTTTAACTAGGAGCTGTAGCATGGGTACCAGGTGTGTACCAGGTACCCTGGAGAACCAATGGAATAAGAGAGGCTGTTGGAATAGCTCATAGGTAGAAGACGACTGCGGCTCCTGGGGACTGTTGGGGAGATGTGTGCAAATGAGAATGGGGGTACGACAGGAAGGTTGGTCTCGGTACTTGTGGCATCACTGCTGCTGTAGCAGGGGTTCATGTTACCCACCAGCCTCTGTGCAGTGAGGTAGTGCTGGTGTCTGCCCAGCACGAGGTTTAACCTGCACACGGGAGGTGTGTGTGAACTCCTAAAGAGTCACAGATTGGACATCACATTCTAATATTTGTTCCTTACTGTATTCAGATAAAATGTTTTATGCTTATGTGCCATGTTTAGAAAAAAATAAAAGCAAAACCATGTGTCTGATACTTTTGCAGTAATAAAATACTCAAAACTTGAATTAACTCGGGTAAGCATATCTGCTTCCTTAGCTTTTGCATCATTCAGAGAAGAGAGATGTAGGTATGTTTAGGTCTTAAAACACAAGACTAAATATTTACTTTGCCTCAGGAAGAAACTTTTTTTTTTTTTAAAGGTGCATGTTGCTTTCTTCCTCCTTTCATTGCATAGAGCTTTAAATTCTTCATGTTATTGGTGACATTTGTATGTGAAATGTTTACAGAGATGGTAAGGACCTTGGAGGGGGGAAGCAAACCTGGGAGCATGTGAGGGAGAAGGGACATTACTCCTCTTCAATACATTGAATTGTTTCTTCAGATGTGGAGAAACTGAACGTTTGGGGAAAGGTTTAAAATAAATTTTCCTGCACGGTAATTTTGCTCAGGATGGAGAACGGACCATTGCATTTTCATCCTACAGATGTATTCTTTTAACTGATAGCTACAGAAGGGTTTCTTTTTTTTTTTTCCTCCCATGCATAAATTGTGATAGCCTATTCACACATGAATGTGGTCCAAAGTTGGACTCCCGTTTCTTGTACTTCCTGGAAAGTTTGTTACCCTCATGGAGAGGAAGAGAGAAAGACTGAGACCAGTGCAATGAGGAGTGAAATTAAGGCCTTCTGAGTAGCCCTCTTAAGGGGTGTGTTTGCCTGTCTGTCCCTACCTCCCTCTGCCTCCCTGCTGCTGGTGGGGGAAGCACAGGGGAATTAGTCTCTCAAGGCT